ATGCTGAAGGCAAAATTAAATTGTGGAAGATGCTGCAACAGGATGTTGTTTCTGCCAGATTTTCTTTGGAGAGGATTTAAATTCCTTCAAACACAAAGAGCCTTTTCCAGGTAATTAAGTGGGCAAAGCAATCAAGCAAACAAAACAAATCAGAACAAAACAACAACAAACAAACAAAAACAACAAAACCACCATGGAACCTAGAAACAAGGGGATTCTGTAAAAACTTAGTTTAAAGAAGTGAACCAAGTTGGAGGGCACTGATCCCTGTGAGCATTTTGTGTGAAGAACTTCACATACTGAGAAAGGAAAGCAGATACCACAGTAACCCTGACCTGTCAAGCTTTTTCCTGTGAATGTGATGAAGACGCTTCTCAGTTATAATTGTACAGTGAGGATGAGGGAGAACCTGGGAGGTGCTATTCTTAAGTCCTCTGTTGGAGAAAAGCCTTCGTAGCAGAAGACACACCTGACCTCAGCTTTATGTACAAATGTCACAATTACTTCCATCTGGCTTTAAAATGTTATAGTTTCAGGAAAAAAAAAGTATGCTATTCCAGTTGTAAATATTAACTGTGAATGAAAGCGAATGCTTTTACTTTAAATTAGAAGGTATTCAGTTAAAACTAGAATCTGTGGTTCTGCATTGTTTCATTTGTAGCTGATCTTTACATTCCCAGAACATTTTGCACATGCATTCAAGAAATAATTCATTAATTTTGATTTGGTTGGAAAGGAGAGAGTGCTATGGCAGTTACTGATGGCAGACACAGTATGAAATTCACAGAGATGCTTATGATTTCTCTACCAGATTAATATAAACAAATATAATCCCAGCAACATAAATTTTTTCTCAAGTTTCTCTTCACACAGGTATTTTCTTTCAGATGAACTCATAAACTAAGCAATTCAAGAAAATTTCATTTACATCTGTTTGCACTTATGCACAGTTGTACGCATAAATTCAATTTTCAGTTGCCACAGTCCTTCACGAATCTTCTAGGCTCCCTGATTCCTATGCATTAATGGTCTTCTGTATTCAGAAAGAAAAACATTAACATGCTTCACATTTGATGTGGTTGACACTATTTCAACGTTCCTTCCCTAGTGTGTCATACATTGCATGATAATAGTCTTCAATGTTCTCCAACACCCCAGTAATTCACATTCACCATTCTTCTACTATAAAAGCATATACACCCATTAAATTATTTTAAATATAAATACTGGAATTCATTCTATGAAAATAATTGAGTGTACAATGTACATCCATTACAATCTTTATTTCTTAACAAAAAATAACACACAAAATTTGGTTTTGTGTGTAGTTTCTTGGATAACTCCATCTACAGTGAAATGCCAAAAGGAAATCATTTTATTCCCTTCTCCAGAGATTGAAAAATGAAGTAGGAGGCAGACATTTTGACCACACTAAACTATCACTCTGAGCTATACCAAGACAAAATCATTTTGTGGTTATAGGAATTCTGAGCCAGACCCATACTATATTTAGCTGGTCCCTGTGGAAAGTTGAGAGTGGTTCAAAAGCACTGACTTCATTATCATTGATGAAACACAGTCTTCACACTCAAGAGTTATGCAAACACTAGTAACGTGTCAAGGATTGCCTTAGAGTATCCCTGGGCCATGGAACTTCCCTCGCATACAAATAAATTCCTCCATCCCTTTCTCCATCACATGCACTGCTTAAGTAGAGATGTTTAAAATAGCCAAAAAAATATTTGGGGATATTTCAAAATATTAATCAGCAAATGGAAAATTTTATTGAAAATTTTCATTTCAAGCAACATTGTATCAAAGTAGACACTAATAATTAAATTTATACTCCGTATATACTACAAGGCTTTGCTATCAGTTGGTGTTAATGTACATCCCATTTCTTTGCTGGTTAGGTTCAAAAGTAAAGAGGTCAGTGACTGGAGGAAATCACAGAAGATTCAAATCAAATTTTAAAGAGCTAAGATATACAGAAGAATCAATACAATTTTTTTCTTTTTCCTACTGTCATACAAGTATTGTCCAAACACAAATGTCAGAAAGGGAACACATATTTGCAGACATGAGAAATACACTCGATTCCAAGCGTTCCACATCTGCTACTTATACATACATTCCCTAAAGTTATTTTAGGGAATAAGTTCTTGCTATCTTGTGAAGGGCAAGAGGTGTCCTTTTCATGAAAGAACACAGAATAAATTTTATGTTTACTGCTGTACTGCTTGAAAATTAAGGATTTTGCACTTCAAGTGCTTCAAAAATATAAAAATCAACCCTGGCCATTTAAGAAAAGAGAATTGTAAAAATTCGCTGGTAATCTTATTTCATATTCCTTTAAATGGCATAAATTCTTCTAGATTACATGCTGCACGTTTCAAATCTAAATGTTAATTAAGGTGCACTTAAAACATTCAATCAGAATTTATTGTGTACCACACAATTTAAGCAATTTCAAAATATTTTATGAGACCATTTTAAACCTCTTTGTAGGATAACAGGATGACTAAAATAGCTGTCACTGAAGTAAATATAAATCATAGCTTGACTAATCATAAATAAGTGTTATTATAAAACACATTTTTTAATTATTACTGAGAAAGGCTGATTTCTAACTAATGCTGTGTTGGTTTTCTCAAAACATGCATTATGAGAGGTGACATTAGCCTGTTCAGAGCTGAACCGAATCTAAAGGTAATCCTGGTCATCCTGGTTTTAAAGTGGCTAATATTTTCCAAATATTTTTTTTGAAGACCATGATTTTCCTGAATCACAATAGCTGAAGCATTAAATTCTTGATGCACTTCATATTTATAAAGATGTCCTTCCCACACACACTTCAAATCTGTGTAAGTAGACTCCACACCTGGAGATTTTTGTTTGCTTGGGCTTTTTGTTTTTCAATACAAACATGTATCTCTTTCCCATATTTCTTTTTCTGATTTGCAACTTGGTCCCTTTTTAATGGCTGGCTTAAATAGCTCCTACCCAGTAACAGCAGTGCCTTTATGTTATTGCAAGCAGTGGCGGTGTGTATGCGTGTGCAGATAAGTGAAAAAGAAGAAAAATAGTAAGGAGATAAAATGTTATTGAAGATTTATAGCTAAAGGCTACATAATTCCAGTTTGAAACAACTGTTTCCATCAAAAAGAGCTTATCTCCATTCTTCCTTTTTTCTCCAGTCATTTTTATTAGTAGCTCTGCTTTAAGTCTATGCTCTTAACAGTCTCTGGCTTTGTCTTCCAGTTTTTTAAAACTGCTGAGCACAGACACATGCCCTCCTTCCCTCCTTCCCTCTTCCCCTCTCCTTCCCTCCTGTTCCTTCCCCTTCCCCTCCCTTCTCTCTCTCGTTTTTTCTTTCTCCATTAAATTCCCATAGATATTTTAGTTGGATTTAGTTGAAATTTGTCTATGAGAGATACAGCATAGTCCTATTGTTTGTTCTCTTGGCTTATATTTATCATTATTGTACTGGTCAGTGATTAGCCATGGATGTGAGGCTATTTACAGACAGAATGATGAGCAGAATGACTATTGAGCCTACAAACTGTTCTGCTGCTCAGTTTCTCTGAAGCTTTTGAGGAGCAGGCAGGCACCCTTTCCACTTCTCCCTGCTCCAATGAACAGAGGAGCAGAAATTCTGGGAGTTGCCTAGAAAACAAGAGGAGCACTCATATTGCAAAATGTTTTATACAGGAAAAGAAATTCCACTTAAATATTTCATAGTGTCAAAGTTCAAGCATTCTTTCAGTGTTGCATCATGTAAAAGACGTGCATATTTTTGTTTATAGAAGAACCAAGAGAGAAGAAACCATAATTGGGTTCTTCTCCCACCTGCATTGTTCTGAATTGTTATGAAACAGTGATTTGCCCATGAGATAGTATTTATTGGATCTCACTAAAATTGAGGTAATTTTATCTGACGGGAATATCTTATTTCTAGCAGTGCTAAATGTAAAAATGGAAAAGCAAGTTAGACACATTCACTCTCAACATCAGCAGCTCTCATGCCTTTAGCTAAGAATTTCTAATTTGCACACCAGCATTGACTTTGAGAGTCAGTTCACTGCCAGATTTATAATAGCATGTAATAAAACTTTCACTTGGCACCATGTTTCATGGTGGCATGACATAATACATTTTCTGTGTGTTAAAATTAGGGTGAGATCTTTTTAGTGTTGAAATATCAAGCATGCAGCCTGACACTTTTTGATTGAGTTTGGACATCCTGTTGGGCTGTCTGAGAAACCGACTTTTAAGATGGAGCTTATGAAGAGCCTTTGGTACATTTATCTTTACAGTCATTTCTTTGTTCTGCTCACACAGCATGCTGCACAGTGCATTTTTTTTTCTTTCAGCTCATAAAATATAACTAGCCAAACATGTTTCTATGTAAAATTTAAAAATAATATCCATGATTAGACAAGAATCAAATAAAAGACCTGACAAAAGATGTTCTGCCATAAGTTCCATTAGACATCATAAAAGGGGTGAACAGCAGGATAGATCAGAAAAAGATAAAACATAAAGGGACGAGGGACAACTAACTGAACTGGGAGAGCTGAATATGAGATGAGACAACAAATTGTAATGGAATTGAAGGACAAAGACTTTGAAAAGGTATAGAAAGGAAAAAAGGAAATACTGAACAGAGACTGTTATTGTTCAGTCTGCAAGATAAAAGAAAAGGTGGGGAGAAGCGGTGGTGTTTTTTCATTTTCTTGCAGTAACTGTTCTGACCACCTATGTGGATTAAAAAAAAAAAAAAAAAAAAGCAGAAGGGCATATTTACTGATTAATCCTTACTGCATGAATGTACCTTACTTTGTAAGTGCAAGTGTAGATGATTGGACATTAAGGAGAAACATTTAATTTTAGAAACTGCTGATTGCCAGAAGTGCAGATTTTCACTTTTATGTACTTATTTTATTCAGGATTGAGATACATACAGTTTTTATTTTTCTTTGTCATATCGATAGCATGCAGATACACAATTGATAATGAGAATTCAATTTTAACAAAATTTTATTATAACAAAAATAAATGTTGCAAAAAAACATTTTTCAGAACAATTCACCTTTCTCCAACACACACACAAAAAAACAAACATTTTGTTCTACAGTCAAATAAGTTGGATTGGCAGCTGTATTACCCAGGATGGTGCTTTGTTAGCATATCCAACTTATCATCTTGTGGAAGATGAAGTCCATCTCTTATAGCTCTAAAAGCACTGATTTTAGTCCTCAGACAGCCATACAGCTTTCTGCAAGGAGCTAAAGTTTAAATTTTAGCTAAATATGTCACTCAGTCCAACAACACAGGCTGGAAGCTAAAATATTAACAACTCTTAGCAACTCTCAAAATGCTTAGATGTATTCACTCATCCCAAGGTACTCCAAGAAAAAGAAAAAAGATATTTACACATAAAGGTGAAGGAAGAGATGTTTATCCATTCAATGGATTCTTTGAATAATACAAATAAATATATAGGTCACCATTTATATTTGTAAAGTAACAGCAACTATAGTGACACTTTTTATTAAGTCTACAAGCTATCTTAAGCCCTGAAGAGATATTTTCTTAAAATTATAGAATATGGAGCTGTGAAATCAGAAATAACATTCAGTGAAGGTGGCTATAAAGGAGCCCAGCTACTTTCTCTCTCCTGTTTTCTCAGAATTACCCAGAGATAATGAACCTTTAATTTTTTGCAGGTGTATTGAGATAAATTGTTTTAATTTAAGTAAACAAGCAAAATCCGCAGACATGCTGGGATGAGAATATTTTGTTATATGATAATAAATGGTGATTACTTTTTTTTTAATATTTTTAGCTAGTCAAGTAAAATTAGTAGCTTGAAAATAATGCAAAATCTGTGCTTCATCCTCAGTGACTAAATCCTATCCAGTTAATGCCAACAGAAATCCAGAGGAATTATGTGGAAATAAAATTACTTACACATTCTTTCTCTGGCCTAATGGACTACAGCATTGTTTAATGTAGTAGGATTTTAATTTTGATATGCAAAATATTTTAACTGGCATCACTCTTATGCAAAAAGAAAGGAAGAATCTGAGTAGCTGCCAACATGGACTGTGAATGCAGCACCTTTTCATCAATTAGACTCAATGGGTATTCCTGGAATTAACTTTCTTGTTCACTAAGAGACAGACCAGGGGTAGTTAATTTGAAGCAAATCTTAAGGCTTACTTAATGGGAATCTTGAATCATTCGTATCATCTTTATTTTTATTTTTATTTTTCCAAAGATGTTACAAAACAGGCAAAAATATTTTGGCTTTAACACTGGTTGAGCCAGCCTCCTAAAGCATGTGTCCTTCACAAGTCTTTTCTACATGGTGTGAACTGCAATATGTGACAACATACAAAAGTAACACAAGTTTAAAAGATGTTACATCAATTAACAAAACAAACAAAAAACATAACCCAAGGTCATACATACATGTGAAAGAAGCCATTATGTTGTAATTCCAAAAATAAAATGTAAAAAAATCACAGCAACTCAAAACATGTTTGGAGAAGTCACTGTGCTATTTCTACAATTCACATGAGCACTTAACTTGAAAACATAATAAACTCAACTCTTCAGGCCTAGATATATGTTCAGACTAACTTCTATATTCTAAAGCCACATTTAGTATTTCTCATTTTAATCAACTTATCATGTGTAATGAAATCATTTGCTACAATGTCTCATTAAGATCCTTGCTGATACATGTTATCCTCTTCTTGCCCTCAAATAATTTTCAATAGAAATTAGGAAAACAAATAAAAACCACACTCAAGTCAAACGGGGAGAATAAAGGTTATTTTCTAGTCATTTTACATCCTGCCATCACCATAAAACACCACTTGCAGACATCCAGAGATGTACGTGGTGCTCAACCTCAGCTCCTTGGCTTTAGACCTGTAACACACTACAGTCATAAGCACAGTCATTCTGACCAGAAAGGCTGTCATTAAATTCATGTACTGTCCTGGTTCTGAGGAAGAGCTGCAGAGGCACAAGGTCTCCAGGGGTGCCAGGCACTGACAGAGGAATTACAACCACAGAAATTCTACTGCAACCTTGATTTGAGGTAATGAACAGACCAGGCAGATGTATAGAAGTATGTGAGTGATGATAGTAAACCTACGTATCTGCTTGGATAAAGAATCTTCCAATTTTGTTGATTCTATCTATGTGTTAATAAGGATGGATGATTATAATTCTGAAGCATCCTTAAAGGATTTTTTGTCCATACTTTCTGCCTTAGGTCAACAGGATCCATTGTTTTTCTGCTAATGCTTTAAACAAGCTGTGATTTAATCTTATTATCAATAAGATCCCTGTGCAAACCTTGCAATGAAGACTTTAAGAGTCATCCGTCATGTGGTTTCATAACTCAGAAGGACAAAATGGGTTCTCATTAATGAGGACTTTCCATTTATAGGAGAAAGCATAAGCAGTAAAGCAGGGAAACTGATTAAATTTCATGATAGAGAAGAAGGTGAGAAAATTGATAACGCTATGAAACACTTATACACTCAATTAAAGAAACAAATATCCTCTCAGATAATGCTATTGTGTTCATGTGAATTTATGAGGAGTCTCTTTGCATCTTTCTTGCTAAAAATAAATTGGTTTTGTAAGGCTTGAAAGTCTAGACATTTACTATATACAATGATCACCGCCACTCTGATCACTTTACTGCACATTTAACTGTGAGAACTAAATTTGTGGTAAAATTGTCTAAATAACTGCCCAAAGTAGACACATTTGGCATATTTGCAGCCATCTCTTTTTGCAAATGTATAATTCTAGATGAAGAGCTAACCAAAAAAAGCAAAATTTTTTCACAAAGAACTAGAAATAGAGAAATAATTACAACTTAATTTTATTCGCCTACACTCACGTTAAGACCAGAGCATGTTTTATTTCGTTGCAGATCTGATCTACCATCACATTATGGTATCCAGTGATAACCTAACATAGTAGCTAGCATAAATAAGGCACTGTTAGTACAGCTGTTAGCATAAGCAGAAGAGTGAAGAAGCTCATTTCACATGAATGAGTTCTTCACACAAAAGTGGACTGGAAGCACTTGAACAGAGTGGAGCAAGGACTTAGCCTTAGATGTCTTTAACTCACTGTATGTTGCTACCAATATGGTCATGATGCTTGTGGAAGCTCTGTTCCAATCAGCCTTCCAGCCAGTGCTCTGCAGCTCAATTTTCTGCAGAAACCTGCATGAAATCATGTCTTGTGAGTGGGAAGGAAGAAGACACTGAAAGTATAAAAAATGCAATCTCTTCTACTCTCCAGATGTATTTCTCCCAATCATACATATTTACATACATACGTACTATCAATAAGAAGCATATGAGTCATCATGGGGCGTTTCTGCAAAGAAGGTACTCCAAGGAAATACAGGCAAAGGAGAAGAGCCATAAATGTGGAAATTCGTTGAAAGCAAGACTCAAGTGTTTGCTATGAAGCTGCAGCCTTGGCTGTGAGGGACTCTATAGATGTGGGAGCTGCTGGAGGAACTCTGCAGCACTTGTCATACTGCAGCACAACAGCTACCGATTTGAGGAAATGCTGCTGTGCTATCCAGTGAGGCAGAAACCATGATTTAATCTGCATTCTGGTTCTGTAGGTACTCTTGGGGAAAAAAAATAAATAAGTAATTTTGGATCTAGCTGTTGGCAGCATCTGTGTTCTGCATCCTCTTGCACAAACAGTACTCACAGGAGAGAAAGGTACAATCCCTCTTTTCTCACCCTTTGCATACCAGGGGGTGATATCCATACATGAAAACACACAGAAAATAAGAGAAAACCATCTGACACCTTTCAAGGTAAAAAGAGGAAAAAGTAACCAGCATATCTCTGTCCTTTAGCCACACACATAAAAAAATAGGAGTACATTCCCCACAGGAAAAGAATGTTATTATGGAACTTATATGTTCACAAAGTGAATGGATTCAAATTCTAAATCTTGAAGTTTATGCTCAAAAATATGTCCTGGCTTTACTAGTCTGGTAGATTTACGCCCTAAGGAAAACAGTAGGGATGAGACCTTCATCTGTCATTCAGGAGGATAAATACACTAGCAGGCCATCAGGAATTTCAACTCTGCTTAAAACCAAAGGTCTGAAGAGCAACTGCTTTGCAAGAAAAGAAACTCCATCCTCTCTTGAACTTCCACTGTCCATATAAGAGGAGAATTAAGTGAAAAGGGAATTCAGGCTACCACAAACCTGCATACCAACAATGAAGGCACCCAAGTGCCTTTGTCCATCTCAGTAAGAATTCATTTATCCAACTTATCCATTGATGTTAAGAAATCTGCTAAAGTCATTGCTAAAATTTGGAGTTATGATGCTGCCACTGTAGTGAAGTAAACATTTAAATCTTCTCATTCTAAAAAGGAAGCAACGCAGCAGTGTGGCAGTTTTAATGTGATAACATATGAATGGCATTGTAGTGTGCACGTGTCTGCGTTGCTGTTGTGATCAGACACAGAGCATCTACAGGGCAGAGTCAATTTCATCATTCTACCAGATTAATAAGAAAAGGAGTGATGCAAAGATTAAATAACGGTAGCCATATTCATACACCAGCATAATTTGTTTGACTGGAGTTGGGTTCTCAGGGACAATGTGGGGAAACAAAAAGACAATCTGGGGAGCAGTTGGCCTCGATGAAGAGTGCTTACTTTTCCTTTGAGAGACCAGGAGCCTTGCAGCTCAAAGCTAGGTCAGTCTCCTGCTGTTGAGGCAAATCTTGGGTGAGGGGAGAAGGGAAGTAGAATACAAAAGGCTCTGTGCTCCTTTTGGGAATGGGAGCATTTCATTAAGGCCACTAATAATATTTAGAGATAATATGATGATGTGAAAAGTTGTTTTTCATATTCAGGAAGAAGGAATGAGATCTGATTGTGAAGAGAACACTGATTCCTCTACTCCGGTGCTATTAAAAGTGGTAATTTTGAGTTATTTTATTTCTTTTGAGGCTGGGGAAGGGTGTTTATGGTTTTCTTAAACTATCTCCCAGGTCCACCAACAACCGATCAGGTGCAAGTGAGCTGGTGAGATTTCAGGTACTGGTATAGAAGAACACAGGGAAGTTTGCCTAACACACAATCCAACATAAAGCTTCTCGTGCAACTAACAAGCAATATATATTCCACCAGGCCCAATACATATTCCAAATGTAGGCCCAATTTAAAGAGTCACAGATACACTAGTGAATTAAAATGTTGTGCTTGCTTACTTACATTAACAGCAACAGCCCTCACAGACAATCTGTATTTCATACAGCCACACAAAAAGTACAAAAAACTTATGTATAACTCAGAAAAAGTATTACTATTTGCAACTAATACATAACAAACAACATATGACCACTGCCCAATTTCTCCTCTGGAACATGGAACAGTGAAACACAATTAAGACAAGAACAGCCATTTCCATTATAAATATACAATCTACTATTGTGTTGCTTACAGAATAACCATGTGAGGGAAATTGCTCCAGATAGAAATCCATTGTGTGTGAAAATATAGAACATTAATCTTTGCAAAAGCATGGGACACCATCATCACTAGCCACCCAGGTAGCCAGGAAGTTTAAACTTTTTATTTCTTACTAAGATTCATCTTCTACTGTGTGATATGAAAGCTAAACAAATAAACAAGAGACTTTAAAAGCAAGAGAGCTTTAAGACTGTTGAATAAGAAGCACCTTTGCAATTTATGGAGGAAAGGCTAGACAAAAATCCCGCTTCTTAACGATGATGGCATTTCTGTGCTGATTTACACTTGAATTTGGTGCCTGACAGTCTAAAAGAGGCTAAGCAGCATCCTGAATGTCTACAGTATGTCTAAACTCATGCTGTCTGTACTTCTGAACTGCATACTCACTGCTTCCTTAGAGATTACAGAAACCAAATCTGTTTTATGTCTAGTAACAAAATAAATTATGGAGTGATAAAAATGAGCTTTTTTTTTTTTTTTTTTTTTTCCTAAAGAAAGAAAGACAGAAAGTATGCAATCATGTTTTCATAGATTAAAAGGGTCTGATCACAGTATCAGTAGAACCACAGAACAACTGTTTCCAGTTCAGATTTTCAGACAGAACTATCCGTACTGACACAGGGAGGCTGAGTAATGTACATGTACTACCCAATGGTGATTGCACTGGTAGTTTAGGCTGTGTACTACACAGCAGCTGTTTACTGCAGCAACACAGTACTGCCAGCAAATAAGGAAGAACAAAAGGGTTTTGTTAAACAAGCAGAAGTGTTAGAACCATTATAACCAGTATCTGATGCAAAGCACTTTCTCATTCACAGTAGGTTCCTGAAAAGATTTAGAACTGATCAAACCCTGTGTAATGGGACCTCCTGTCAGCCAGAACGTCCAGATGGATCTGTCTAGAGACAAACCAACTACAAAAAGACTTTTAAACAGCTTTCTGCCTTGCTTGCTGTGTCCCTATAGAGTAGGTGTTTGCTTTCAGGCTTGCTTTCAGCCAAGTGAGTAGCTTTTTGAGTTACATCAAACTCTACTCTCTCCCCTCTTAGCCTTTAAAAATTTCTCTCTCTATCATGTCAGAGACCTGTCTGTCTGCTTGATTGAATTTCCCAGCTCCTTACCGAGTACAGCCTCCAAGTTCCTTCCAGTCCCCTCTTCTCCAGACTCAGAAGCCTTCTTTCCCCAAACAGACCCAGTCCTTCCTGCAGAAGGCTTCTGTCTGAGTAGATTTATTGAAGGAACATAGTATGTCACTGAGAACGTATCACTCAGACTGTTACTGTTTGTCACAAATAATTTTAGAAGCTAAAGCATTCTGGCTGAAAACTAAAGAGAAGATAAAAGTTTGCCATGAAACGTTGTCATTTTGGATGAGAAACATTGCCGCATCTGAAATCCAGTTTAGCATCAGTTTTCACAGGTATATTCTGACAAATTCTCATAAAGAAGAATGTCTGTCTTCAGAAGGCAGAGCTCCTGTTTTAAGAAAAGTGACTCATATTACTTGATATAAAAAATGCTTTGGAATAACAGCTTGTCCATTTATAATGTCAACAAAGACATTGCACAGTGAGCTACAATGTGAATACTCCAATTGTCATAACTGTTCATGAAAAGATAAAAGATAAAGTATTACTCAGCTGTGAACCATAAGCACAAAGACTACAAAGGCAAGGGAAAGAGCATTGATTTAACAGAGGAATCATCCAACAGGCTTGTAGAACAATCCACTGCAATTGCAGGAGTCAAGTCAGTTCAGTTAGTATTTCAGGATGCAGAGTTCTAGCTGAATTTAACCCATAGTAAACAAGCAAAAAATAATAATTTAAAAGACACAGAATATTAAGGTATACCTCATTTTGATTACATTCCAAGGCAGGAGTACCACTTCTGGTTCTTAGGCCACAGAGAAGATATTTCTGAATTTGGGCCATTGTGAGGAAGTTGTGAGCTAGAAGTCACAATGCCAAGAAGAATGAAGTTTTGGTTGGCAAGTGCTAGTTCCACCTCCCAGAATTCTCATAGGTGTTATCCAGCAAGTTATTCCTCCAGTTTATTTATCATTAGAGTTGTGAAATTTCTCTGCAAAGTAGGCACACAGTAAGGCACACAGATGCAACAGACTTCTGACACAGCACTGAACAGGAAGAGCTTCACTCTGCTTTCTTCTTATCACTTCCAACCTGTTTGAGTTGGATACAAAATTACCTGTGTGGACTGCATTCTAATTGTTTAAAACCCTTTTAAATACAAGACTGCAATCCTGTTGCTTGAACATGTGGAAATCATATCCCAAATTCTGGCAACAATTCCTCATAATTAAATTGTTATGACTGTCCAACAAAATACATCCAGACAGTGTTTATACTTGGAGTCTTTATCACAGTAAATGTGAAAAAAAAAAAAAAAAAAGGCCAAACATAAATAACATAAATACGCACATACATGTATGCATATATACATATATGCATATATGCATTTACACGTGTATATCTCTATTGTTTTTAGAAATACAAGACTGTGAAGCCAGAGATGAAATGTATTTATACATATGCATGTGAGAAAATGAGAATGGCTGCAGAACTGCATACAGACATTTCAAATGAGGCTCATCTAATTTTCTATGAAGAATAATACAGTGTTTATAAAGTTTTAAATAGGGGTAGAAAGACAACTGGAAAACAACGACCTCAGGCTGTCTTGTTAGAGATGGCCACAGGGTCTCTAAATTTCATAAGCAATCAATACTCATGGTGATGATTAAGAGGAGTCACTTTTTGATTTGTAACCTTGTTAAAGAACTTTGCTGTACTGCACAGAACAATTCTTGGTCAGTTTTTCCTTGGGAGCCATTTCTACTATAATTAAAGAGTTCTCCTCTCCTCCTACAGCCAAGACTTTCTCCCTCTTGCCTCAAGCTGTGGGTTTTTCATTTAACACTCCAATGCTTCACCAATAATAATAAAAAAAAATCAAATCATCCAGACCACTGAATGGGCGATGATTTTTTTTCTAGGATATGACCTTCAAGCTGTTAAACAAATTCACAAAACAGACTAAAGTTTGCTCCTCTCTTTCAAGTGTAAACTTCAAAGGCACTCAGTCTAGACTGTTGCAAAATCAAAATGTTTTATGACTTGTCCCTGTCACCAAAATACTACAGTTTGTACATGAATATATGAATATTACAACTGTCTGCAATGGAATTTAAGCAAACTGCAAGCGCGTCAGTGAACAGAAGAGTCAAGTTTATATACCTTAAATCAGTATTGTAATCATTTCTTAAAGTTCAGGCTGAAAATAAGAGCAGCTGTTATTAGTATTATTCTAGAGATACTAGACAGACAGAGTTTTCAACTGTAGTTTACTGTGCATGTTTATTTGCTACTCCACTGATATTTTTAGGCCTAGCTCTAAAGAAAGTTCATTTCCTTGATATATCAGAAAAAATGCTTGTGATATGCAAAATCCTCTTTCCCTAAATCACTGATGGTAATGCAACTTAACGCAATCCTGTGTTTTTTTCACTTACTTTGGAAGATACATTTTTGATCTGTACAACTTTCACCATGGTCAAGCATCCACGCGAGGAAGACATCTGTACCTTTTCTGGCAATAGCATTAGAAAACCTATGCCTGGAGTGACTAATGAAATGCTTCATTAGATACGGGTACTTCACCTAAAGTCAAGTGCATTGGCACAGAAAAAAGGAAGAAGCTGCTATCATTGCTAGGCAGATCTGGCACAAATAGACTCTATTTCTCTCTACTATAAGCCAAGGGTCTTTTTAAAAATCATGTCCACTTGAGGGAAAAAAACTGGCTAGGAGGATTTTTCCGTTTTTCCTTGCAAGATATTTCAAATTTCACTGTCATCATCTACAATATTTATATTTCACACATGACAAGATTCATATAAAATTGCGGTGTAGTATTGCTTGTCACAAACTAAAGCCCAATTACATGTTGAGAAAAATGTGCACAGAAAACAAGGATTTAGGACTAGGTAGAGCTGAAAGCTAAGGGAGAAGCATTATGTCAGACTGAACTAGCAGTAATTGTAGTTTAATTTTTCATCAGTTGAGTTTTTACTATTTACTTAGGCACTGAAAGCCATGAGTCCAATGAGTAGGCAAGAAAACTTTATTTCACCTGACAAACCTGGTGTCTAAAGGATTTAACATAAAAACGGTCAAGCAGAAGTCTGGATATGCTATTGCTGAAGACAATGACTGAATGTGGCTTGTATCAGTACCATGTTAGCTATCTATGTTTAGAGGAATGTAACCAGAGTACAGCAAGTTTGAGCCCCACTTACAGATGAGTATTTTTTAGTGTTCCTTGATCACTGTAATTTTTATGTGAATGTATATTATCAACTCTGTCTCACAGAAGATATCTTTGGTTGCCAGACATTTGAAAAAATCTATTTTCCAAACTAGAGAGCTTAGCAGGGGACTAAGAACAGCTTTTCTCCAATTCTCAGAAATGCTGGAATTTATTTGCTGGATGTCTCTACAAGTGATGGGAATTCAATACATCTAAAGTCAATCCTATTTAATATCAAAAGCTCTGCATGGTAAGACTGAGGTAATTGAGTCTAGGAACCAGCTGTAAAATCCCAAAAACTCTCTGAAATTATCCAGTGAGCCATAAATAATCCCAGTGCACTAGGAAAAAGCAAGTGAGAAAGAGAAAGGGAAGAAGGGAGTATAAATCAGTGCTTGGGAAAAATAGAAAGCAACCAATAATCAAAGGGTCATGGGTTAAGTACACAAAAATTTACAGACTACTTATAAAAACTTTGCCAAGATCAGCAACAGTAAAGAAATTACATAATAAAATAAACACCACTAAAGTCAAACAATATTTTAAACATTCTATCTGTTGGCAATTTGACTACTTTGCTTTAAGCTCTTTCTCTACTTCTCCTTATTCCTTCCCCTCAAAAATATCTTCTCTTAAAAATCTGGAGAAGAAATTACAATTATTTGTATCTATACAGACTTTTCCAGATGGTGATATCTACTACAAAATAAACAGGCAACTTGAGAAAAGAGTTAAAAAAAGGAATCAGCTTTGTTCCAGCCATCTCTCACAGCTGGCATCTATACAAATCTTAGAGAGGAGTTCTAGGAGCTCTGTAAACTGGAAGGGATTTGTGCAGAAAAGCATTTTCTTTACTCTGATAATCCTAAGAAACAGTCTTTGTCCTCAGTATAACAGAGTTTTCAGGCAGACTTCCTCTGCCTATCCTACCCAAATTTGGGAGCTCGAGATTAAGACTGCTTTGTACACAGCACAAGATGACCTCTGAAGTTTTGTTGCCCTGCAACGAGGCCTTGCTAGCTACTTTCTAAAACTAGCATTTTCTATGAACATATTTTCCTGTCTATCCATGAGACTAAAGTAAGTATCATAGTCTATCCATCTAATATGGATATGCTCGAAGCCTTGTCAAGCGATGTAACACAGCTCATTATCCCGCAGCAGTTCCACACAAACCACGACGGAGATTTTTATTCCCACTGTGATTTTAAATACCTCCTTACAAATAAGCCTCTCAGAGAACTAATAGTTAGATTTTTCTTTTACACAGAAAAAGTCCAAATGAGGCAAGGGACTCAAAAGTCCCTGAAAAACTTGTGCTCTGATGTTAATTTGCCTTTCAGGACAGAAAGGAATTAGTGGCATTTCCCATGTTAGCAGTATGGTTTACAGTAATAAGCACTTTCCTTGCAGTCTAAGCAGAGAAGCCAAGAAATCAATGACCGCAGAAATGCTTGAGTCCTCTATTCCCTCGTGGCTTTTCATGAAGATGTTTGTCTGCATCCATTCCTTGGGACTATGATTCTGTGGTTATCATGGACTGCTCAGCCCTGATTGGTTTAGATTACTCACACAGAAAAGCTAAGAAGCATTTTCCCTATTAATATGTTCAGTGAAATCAACTTTGAGAAATGGAACATATCTTGTAAAATTAAATTCTGGTAGGAGAGTGGTGCTCTCCTCAGTGTCACCATCTCCTTTTGAGTTAGTATTCTTACGCTCCCCTTTGGGATACTAACTACTGGGTGGTCTGCTTCACTTGTAGATACTTACAGTGGTTTGGCCAGACTAACCCATTATAGGCAGCCCTAAATAATAACTAAAATAATTATTTCATACTTCAGACAAAGAATGCTAATATTTATAGAGCTATTCAAAAACACTTCAGAGAGTCAGGCGCTCAGCTTAGACTGAAATTCTGTGGGGTATGGACATAACACCAATGTTGGGGCCCCTTGGATATTCCTAACTTGTGAGTCATCTAGAAGTAATTTTATTAGAGATATGTCTTTTTCTCTAAGAATTATGCTTTCGAAACAGTGAGCAAGGGTCACCAACACAATAAATGATTTGAGAAATGCTGTAAGCACGTCAGTACTGTTTATCTGCAGCAAAAAAAGCATATTTGAAAGTGGAAGGCTTATTACCATCAGCTCCATGTCATTTTACTCCCAAAATGCCATATTCTAAATTTTGCGAATTAGGTCCAGCAAATTCTAATTTGCTTGAAGGTATCTACTGCTGTGGCAGCATAATGGTCAGACTATCACAGGCCTAACACGGTCCGTAAGGAAAAAAGGGCACCTGTGAAGTTGAAGAGGTATATTTATATACAATCTTTTTGTGTGCCTGTATACACATAAATGCCTGATATTCAAGAAATAGTAACACTGTTTTTTCCCAACTGTACCATTGCTTTCACAAATAATTTGTTTGATTAACCTATCTATATACCTATCTGTATGTGCGCACATGAGAGAGAGACTGAGAACTTTATGTCCAATATAAATACACAATTTAGCAGCTGCAACACTGCAAAACCATATGTGCTTTAAAGATTAAAAACAAACAAGGAAGGACCATTCGCTAAGGCAACCATTCTCAGCCCTTTTGCAGGGAGTCTTCATTTAGAAAATCTACTCAGGAAGAATTATTGTTCCCATTCGTTATTTTGCCTGGATGACTTTTACAGGGCTGTTTTTACCATCAATTGGTAAATTCAGTGGAAGAAAAAAATTATCCTATTATTAAAG